GGCGTTGTTAGGCGGCGGTGGCAACTAGGATTTGAGTTTGGGTTCGGCGGTGGTGATGCGGTTGGCTTCGAAGATTGCTGCGCCCGTCTTCACTGTTCTCCTCCACGTAGGCCGGTCCCGAGCGAGATCTTCCCAGTTTGCCCGGTTGGTCTGCAAGCACTTCAGGGAGGTTTTCAAAGTATCCTTGTAGCTCCGGACCTGACCTGCTTGTCGGCGTGAACCCGTCGCGGCATCTCTATAGAAGTGTCTTTAGGTAGCCTTTCGTTATCCATCCGTACGAGGTGGCCATTCCAGCGTATTTGTAGGTGGCTCAGCATAGCGTAGATGCTGAGGTTTGCTTCAGTACGTCCGTGTTTGAGATTCGGTCTTGTCCCCTCAGCTTCAGTATTCGATGAAGACAACCGAGGTGGAAGTGGTTGAGTCTACGTGCCTGCTTCATGTACACCGTCCAGGTTTCTGCACATTACAGCAACATCGGTAGGATGACGACCTTGTACATCTTCTGTTTCGTGCTGAGCTGAAGACCGTGACGATTCTAAACTGTGTTTTGACGACGGCCGAAGGTTTGACTGGCCTTGGAAATCCGGCGGGCGATTTCGTCATCGATTTTGGTGCTGTCCAGATAAGTGAAGTTGTCCACCACTTGCAGTTGGGTTCCGTTCACGCTGATTTGCGGCGCGTTGGGGGGAGGGGCTGTGTTAGGTGGCGCTTGATGCATGACCACCGTCTTCTCCAGGTTGATGACCAGACCAAAGTTCACGCAGACGGCGCAGAAGAGGTCCATCCTCCTTTGCATGTCTCCTTCAGCATATACATTGAGGACGCAGTCATCGGCAAACAGAAGTTCGTAGACGGTGGCTGTGGATACACGCGACTGGAAGTGCATCCGCTTTTGGTTGAGGAGGTGGCCGTCCGTCCTGTAGGCGATGCGGCTCCCGGGGCGTTCGTCACGATGGGCGTCCATCAGTATGGCAGAGAACATGAGACCGACGAGGGTAGGCGCGAGGACGCAGCCCTTCTCCACTCTGCTGGTCACTGAGAATACCTCTGAGACAACTCCGTTGTCCGTGAATCGTACCATCATGTCATCGTGGAGCTGACACACCATCTGAGTGAATAATTCGGGACAGCCGAATCTCTGCATAACTTTCCACAGTCCTTCATGATTCACCATGTCGAAGGCAGAGTACAGGCGGGTCCCCATCTCCTGACACTTCTGCATTTGGCGGACGGCGAAGACCCTGTCGGGGGTTACACGGTGATGGCGAAAGCCGAACTTGCTTTCCGGATGTTTATTCAGGCGATGTTCAACAGGAAAATGCCTCGATGGTTGTCGCAGATTTGGCGTCTCTCTTTGCGCCTGTAGAGTTGGAAGATTGTGGTGTCCTTGAAATCCTGCGGACTTCGCCTTGACAACACATCTCCTGGAAGAGGGCCGTTAGATAATCCATGAGTTGGGGGCCACCGTGCTTGTAGATCTCAGCAGAAATCGGGTCCGATCCGGGCGCTTTCCTGCTGGAGAGCTGCTGCGCGACCTTGATAGTTTCGTGGAGAGGACGGGAGGTCAAGGTTGACCTTGATCTCCACTTGAGGCAGACGGTCGATGGCGGCGTCGGAGATGGTTGAGGATGCCTCTGAAGTGAACAGCCCAACGCTCTAGTATTTGTGTCTTCTCGGTAAGTAGGGTATTTCCGTCGGCGCTGAGAAGAGGTGCAGTTCCTTTGGTTGGCGAATCGTAGACAGCCTTGATCGTGGAGAAGAAGTTCTTCCATTCGTTGCAATCCGCACACCCTTGGATTTCCTTGGCCTTTAGAGCTGTCTTGACGTTCTGCATCTGCAGCCGCGACTATGGTTGTCGTCGGTAGGCTTTGTGAAGGCGGTTCCTCTCGGTGAGCAGAATCTACTTACAGTAGGTGGACTAACTCACGAAATGTCAACCGAAATTTCAAAATGCGTTTTCGTTCTGAAAAGATTAATTAGATAGGGTTGTAAAACCGATCTTCATGCAGCGCAATACCACAATAATTCAATTACCTCAGGATGCCGGCTTCCGAAGAAACTTCTTTCCGAATGCATGCAAAAACCATACTCTGTAAAAAATCGCCACTTAATTAGCATGCATTTTTCTCATTGATTTTCGATGCCCTTAAAGACTCAATTCTATTTAATGGAAACATATGTAAAAATATTCTTTTTTTCTCCCTCAGTAGAAAATTACGTCTTCTCCCGAATTTATGCCCAAAGGAAGGGTTTATTTCGGTTTTCAAAAAGTTCCTAATTGTAAGTTTTTTTAATACCAGGCAATGGCCGTTCGTAAAACGTCACGTCTCTGCATTTACCAATGTGGCTTGTAAAGTCAACAATATGGCTCAAATCCACTGCTAAATTTTAGGAACCTTACACGGTTTCCTTTTAAGACCGTAGAGAAATATACGTTTTCCACACACGGAAAATATACGACTTGTAGTTTGGAAAACCTGAATGCAAGTGTGACGGCAGGTCAGATTCAAAATTATCCGGGAATTGGAAGAGTTTTTAAAACCGAATAATACCCTCTTCGAGTATGAACCTGGAAGAAGACGTAATTTTCTACCGAATTAGCAAAAGAATGAATATTTTTATGCATTTTTTTTCATGAAGTATAATGAAGTCTTTAAGGGCATCGAAAATCAATGAGAAAAATGCATGCTACTTAAGTGACGATTTTTTACAGAGTATGGTTTTTGCATGCATTCGGAAGGAAATTCGTTCAAAAGCCGGCATCCTGAGGTAATTGAATTACTATGGTATTGCGCTGCAAGATGATCTGTTTTACAACCCTGCCTAGCTAATTTTTTTCGAAACGAAAACGCATTGTGGAATTTCATGAGTTAGCCCACCTACTGTACTTGAAGACTGCCATTACGTTTAATCGATTCGGCGCATGCACCGCGTCACAATTCAGGGTGTCAGAGTTGGAAAGGAAACGGCCTGCCCGTGGGTAGTTCATTCATGCGGTCTGCATACCTCTGTGGCTGGCGTGCCAGTGCATGAGCTATGCGAGTACGTCGGCGAGCTGCCCGTGACCCGGCATTCAGCGGGGCAGTCTAGCAATTGATTGGTAATGAAGGGAACGACGACGGTGACATAGAAGGGCAAGAAGCGAGAGCGGCAGTTTTGGCGCCGTGGGGTCCCTGGCTGATTAGTCCCCGGTGGGAAGGATTTGTTTGGTCACACAATCCTCACACAGGTAAGATGAAAAAGCATACTGCCCATATCATGCGCCGCTGTGCGGCCGCTGGTTGGGCTCGAGAGAGAGCCCGTAAGGCACAACGGAACGAGTGAGTTCCGTAAGAACGATCGGTGAGCGCCCCTACCATTGTATATTCCTGACCGAAACCGACAGGGCAATGGGCTCGTGGCACAGTGGTTAGAGGCGTGGACTTCTAATTAACAGATCGCGAGTTCGAGCCTCGGGTGTTCCGCACTTCGGGCTTGGGTGTGACTGGCTGACGACGGCTGATAAGCCAGAAATGGCCATTCCAGTCACCTTTGTCTTTGTCGGTAATAACATAAAGCAAGATCTCACAATGACTGGTCAAGATGAATCAACGAACCAAAAAACGAAACCGGCAAACCTTCAAAAAAACTGCAAGGTAATTTGAACGTACTCTCAAAGGACGCCGAAACGGAAGTTGGGAAGGGAGTAGCCTAGCCAATGATTAGCTGTTTTATCTTGATTAGCTAAAAAAGCTACTTATCGTAAGGGAAATTCAATAATCAAACATTTGGTACTGCCAAAAAAGGACTGAATTATGTCTTGGCCGTTTTAGATACGTTGAATAATTGGACTAGCAACTTAGCAGGACCAAATCATCTTGCCTCAACGAAGGCCGATTAAGTGAAGTCCACGGCGTGTACTTTCACACAAAGATTATCTGAAGTTATACTTAGCAGGGACGAAGATAAGTTATTTCATTCGCCATACAATGTTTGCTCGCCGTTGATAATCCTTCTAACCGTCACGTCCACCTCAATAATAAAAACCACGTGAGCGACCTTTTTCCAAACATTTTTCGGTTCTTCCCGAAAAAAAACCTGCTCTAGCTAGACGATATTAATTTTTTAATGAACACATGCTATGTGGAAAACTGCTGGTTGCGAGTAGAGGATGTATTGACTTAGCCAAAATATTTTTTTGTTAATCTTTTCCACGGCAAAGAGATTATTTTTGATGTGTACCGAGGACTATTTACAACACAAATTGCAAGTTCTTGAACCGTGTGGCATACAAAATACATGGCCAGTAAACTTCTTAATTAAAAACCGGTTAGCCATAATAAATGAAACAGGAAGAGCCTGTGTTAGATATTTACCAATCCTGCAAAACCTGTCAACTGATCGTAAATGTTGTCATTTATTTTTTCGAGGAATGCAAAGGCGACAAAACATGCAGAATTTAATAACTTCATAAATTTCGTGACCTCTTACTCAACTGCAAACAGTCACGGAGTATTTTCAAGGCAAGGCAAACTGTTTAATCATGAAATTTATGGCACCATTAAATTCCGCATGTTTCGTCGCCTTTGCCTTGTTCAAATTTATTCCAGGATACAGTGATTCAGTTATTTTTCCCGTCGACTTCGGTACTTTCTGTTTGTCTCAGTGTCCAACTTTAGGTTATTGAAATTCGCAGTAGGTGTTTATGTGGAAGAATATCCACAAAGGCGCGGAAGACTGGAATGATCGTTTCTGGCCTGTTTTTCATCATCAGATAGCTCTTTTCTAACCCGGGGCCTGGGCACCTGAGTTAAACCCGGACCCCGACTCTGTCGGCTGCAGTTGGGGTTCTCAAGGTCACGCTGCAGCGATGCGACTACAGGTAGGAACAAAGTGCCGCACACTTATAACGAATGCCTTGATCATTTCAGCGCTCTTTCAACTTCAAAAAGCAGTCAGTTAGGATGACGGAGAACCGACTTGCAATGCTTCTCAGTATGTTTGCACCTTGCCGATACAACATCAACTAATTTCATGCCGGAAAAACATAAAAGGAATGCCGGAAGCCACGTTCACACCTCATTTGCCAGGCACTCCAAATTTTCCGACACAAAATAACGGCTAAGTTTGAAAGTGCAATGGTCGCCGTGCCTCATACAACAGGGATTGAAATCCACGAGTGTGCTTTCGACTAAAATGAGCCTTGCGGGTGGTTTAAGTACTTTTGTCAGTAAAAGAGTGTTATGGCCCGGCCTAGTATTTGAGAGCACGTGGAAGCATATGCGTACCCGACTCTTGTCCTCAATACCAACGCCACAGAGAGGAAGAACGCGATCGGCCACGGAAATGTGTATTAGGAAATTGCAAATCAAGATTAAGTGGAAGTAACGCATATTTATAACGCCCGACTGTGGTCCGCCGGCGTTCGGTCCAAAGCTCTTCGGGAAGAACATTCTAGACGAGCCGGTCGATAATTCGGATACGCAGATCGATCAGGCTTGAGGAGAGCAGCCAATGGAGAGGCGCCACGATTAAGATGACAGCGCTGTAGAGAAAACGCACGTGGCCCCCAGTGATTGGCTGGCTCCTGTTTGTGGGAATGTAGGCACTCCTAACAAAGACCTATTTTATTTAATGCCAACTCGTTTGTATGCTATCTTGCAACGAGTAAATGCTGGTTTTTTTTTACAAACACTGAACTTTTCAAATGCATAAATAGCACATGCTTTCAAACACCATGCAACCGGAACAATTTCTTCGTTAATATTTTCCATGACAATCAGATTATTTTTAGTGTTTACTGAAAACTGTTTGCAGCATAATTTACAAGTTCTTGAGCGGTGGGGCATAAAAAATACACGGTCCGTAAACTCTTAAACTGGATACCTTTCGCGATAACTAAAATGAGCCCTGTGGATTGTTTGGATACTCTGTTGACGGAAAGGTGACTTTATTGTGTGCCCACTTGCTTGTTTACTAGCTTACAGAGGGTAAATAGTGGCTTCCTTTTATTTCCGTTAAAAACAAAACAGTTCGGAAGAATGGGAATCAGAAACGTCTTGTTCCAACGACTGCAACTTATACTTCTGTACTTTGTACTGCTCTTTAGGGATATATACAAATTTAATAACCCCGAGAGGAGGTCGTGACTACCTCATATCTCGCGTTTTCTTTCGTAACCAATGCAGTCCTGTGAAAATAGCGTTCCTGCCTGCGTAGACCTTCACTGGAGGCGGTCTGAGAGTCAGGCTGCAATGGCTCCTTTTTAATGCGGCCTTTATGGCATTCCCACCATAGTGTGGGATCCGAGCCAGGCGTTGGCGGCACGCCCAGGTGCGGCTTCGGCCGTGCCAGCCTCCAAATCTCTGTTGTGTTGGTTGAAATCCTGGTTATTGCTGTGTGGACCAGGGGGTGTGGTGGAACGCCAAGGTGAGGATCCGTCCGAGCCATCAACCTGCGGCCTCCCTCGTCTCCGGTCTTCTTGACTCTGTCTTGACACGGGGTCCAGGCGGGGGAGGAGGAGAGAGTGTAGGTAGATGCTACGCAAGTCTACCGGCACTATAAACCCCTGCGTAAGTCACCGTCCCTGCTCCCATTGCTGCTGCAACTGTGGGGCACACGGTGGACATCATCGAAACCGATGGTCGAACTGTCACATGTGACAAAATAGAATGCCTTCTCGACTCTCTCATGCTACCGGGTCCGGGAGGTAGGGGAGGGAGAGAGAGAGAGAGAGAGAGCAGTAAATGCTGCACAATCCCAATCTCACTGTGGACTACTTCACACACGACTC